ATATATATATATATATATTTATATTTTGCATTCCTTCTTTCTTTTTTCTTCTTTCCCTCATCCCAGTCACAACTGTAGTTCTTTTGTATCAGTGGCTGGATCTTTCATTTTGTCTTGAGAAAATAACTATAAATTATTTGATGAAAAACATATCATATATCATATCATAAAATAGGAATAGTACTTCATTAAACAGAGAAAGAAAAGTACTGTGTGTTGGGTACATCCTCTGAAATTCATGTGTTAGAAATTTAAATTAAATGTTGATGGTATTTAGAGGTGGGTGTTTGGAAAGTGATTAGGATTAGATAACTCATTGGGTGAGGCTGCCACTGTGGCATTAGTGGCTTTATAAGAACTTAAACCCTTTTTTTGCATTGGCAAGCTGATTTTTTGAATACACACTCTGTTCTTTATCCGACAAAGGAAAAAAAAACATTTTAATGCCTTCAACATACTTTGGCTAGGTAATATAAAGTTCTTTATGTCACAAACAGTACTCCTCTTATCGATGCTTATAAATCATTTTTCCCATTTTTAACTGGTTCCTTATAAAATTGGGTATTTGGAACCTCTAAGGTTACTTGTGGCCGTGTGATATTTTGTTTTACTTCTAAGGCAGCTATGATATCTGCTGATTATTTCGTCTTCTCTGACAGTTCTTCTGAAATTTTTCCTAAATTCAAATCTCAAAGTGAAAAAAATGTTTTAACGTCTTTAAATTATAAGCCATGCTGTGCATGGATTTTTACTCATGTTGCTTAGTAAACCAAGGGTGGCCCTGGTATATCGACCTCCACTATTGCTTACTTCTTCACATTGGCTAGGATTACCAGTTTAAAAGTCTGCTGGCTCTAAACTCAAAATACTTAAGCACCCATTTGTTTTAAACATGGTCCAAATAAGGGTAGTCATAGTCACTTAGAGCTTCTTGTTTTGCACAGCATAAAACTTCACTCAATATATGTTAATTATCAGTCAAGCAATTTAGGTGACAAAACACCTCAAGCCACTGATGTCCTTTGGACCTCTCAGACCCAGAGACTCCCTCCATTTTTCTGGAGATCACTAAGGCATGCAAGTCCCCTCCACGCTTCCACTTTCCAACAAGAGTTCCTTTGCCTTTCTTCCTTGCAGGGTGGTGGCTCCAGATCATTCTCTCTAGAAGATACTTGCTGTGAGGGACTTCTCACATGCATATCAGCACATGGGTGTCCAAATAAAGCTTGTGCTACAGCTACCTCATAGTCTTGTCTTTTTTCCTTGATCGATTCTAAGACCCATGAAGGGAAGGGGCCAGGTCCCACTGCTCCTTTCAAAAGATACCTCTACTGACTTAACTTCCAAGGGGTTCTATCCACTGTGTCTCACTTCCTAAAGGTTCTACCATCTCCCAGTAGTGCCACAGACTATGAACTCCATCTGGGGGACATCTAAGATCCAAACCATAATGCCCACCCTATGAACCTGGACTGGTCTTGTGAACTGCTTTGGCCAAGAGAATCCAACCAAAGTGATAATATGTCAGTTCTAAACATGTGCCACATAGCTCCATTCTCTCAGAACTTTACATCTGCATAAGAACAAACCAACAAGCCTTCAGAGAAAAAAGCAGCCTGAAAAGGGACCCGTTATACCCTCTCAAGTGAGTCCAGATGCCACCAGCTGAGTTGGACCAGACCCTCACAATAATCTCATGAAAAGTAATAAATAGTTTTTTTTAAGTAACTAAGTTTTGTGATGTTATTGTGTCAATAGATACTGACATGCACTCTTATATTTTCACTCAAAGATTAATGTAATTAATTAATATAATGGCTGTCAAATTGGTTTTAATTAAGATTTTTGTTGCAGAGGTAAATTATCTCTGCCAAACAATAATACTCTTGCTCAACACTTTATAGGATTACAAATGTTAAAAAACCTAAGTTTTGTCAATGCTTTCGGGTCAATAATATTTTCTTACTCTAACGTATTCAATAAACAAATTCTTATGGGATGAACAGTTATCTACCCAAAAGAGGATTGCACTCCTCTTCCCTCTGACATTGCTGGTTATGTAGTGAGTACACACTAAACGCACATTGTGTAGTACAGTCATATCACCAACACATGGCTACTGCCTTTCCCTCTCCCTTGCTCCAATATCTTGCTATTTGTTACATGACTTAATTTTTCTTTCTGGAAGAAACATCAAAAGAACAATTGCTTCATGAAGAATGCATCATTTTGTTAAGAATTTATGGTAGAAAGAAAAGATTTACAGGTATAGGCTCTTCAGGACAAGCTGATGTCACAACCATGAGCTGCTAGACTAGGCAAAGAACTGGGGCAGGATTTCAGGATGTTTTCTATCCAGTCTACATGTGGTAGTCTGCTTAATTTCATGTGGTACTCTGCTCAATTCAAGACCAGCAGAATAAAATTATCTCACATTGAATAAACTGAATTGTTGTTTTTATTTGTTTTCTAATAAACATGAGACAACTTCCATTCTTTGACTCTATTTATGAATTCCAATGTATTTGCCTTTACTTGTACAAGCTAGAATGATGCAAAAATGATGTAATTTTAACAACATGTAGTACAACAAGAACTGCTAATTCCTATCATTTTGTTTTGAAACTCTGTATCATTTCTATTGTTTTTGTTTTGTCTTGTTTTTGCCTATGTTGTTGTTATTGTACTACTGCTTTTTTATTTTCTTTATAATAAAAAAGATCTAATTGTAAAATGACATGAAAATGGTTGCAACTAACCTGTCAGTGCTCAAGGAAAAAAGTTACTAATCAAAATTTTCATATAATGATAAGCTAATAAATTATCAGAAACAAGTCAATAAAAATTAAGAACCCAGAGTTGTTTTATCCCTAAAAAGTTAAATATATAATGCTTTTACCAAGTTCACTATATCAGTATTTACTTACAAAGTTTTAATAAAAATCAATACTTTTCTACCATGATGTCACTGAATATTTATTTGTATCCATTTTCCATACAGTTTATGTGAAGTCATTGAACTAGGTATGGTGGCTTCATCTAGAAATATGGATTCACTTATTATGTTAAGATGATATCTACTAAGTTCATCTA